CCGGCACTGCTGGACCCGTACTCGTCGTCGACCAGCGACAAGATCGTCCAGATGGTCGAGGCGCTGATCGCCAGCAACGGGAACACGTCCGACATGCCCACCGAACCGCCGTCGCCAGTCACCACCGTCGCCTCGCCGCCGTCCGCGGCACCGTCCGCTGTATCGTCCGCGGTACCGTTGGTCGCGCAGTCGCCGTCGGCCGTGGCCGCGGCTTCCGCTTCCACGACGGCCGCGAGCGGTACGGCCAATCGGAAGTGCGGACCCGGATATTTCAGGGACCCGATGGGTCGGTGCCGGCGCATTCGAAAACCGCATCTGCCGTAAGTATAGTACTTGCACAGCGGTTACCAGCTTTACTCGTTCTTTCACAGTACATCACGTGCTCGTTACAGACACGGCACTGCATTTTTTTCCCAGGGAAATGGCAAATATTTTTATTTTTTACACGGGCTAAGATTTTTTCAACAAATACTGACGTTATAAAATATAAATATTTTCGTATCGTACGACGTAATATAGCTATTATTGTTTTCGTGGCATACAATCACAATTAGACGAAAACAAAAATATAGTAAAAAATTAGTAAATAAATAAAATAAATGCATATAATTCAGAGTCCATCCAAAAACTTAAAATACAAATATTCGAAAATACGAAAGTAATTACATAAATTACAAATTTTTAGTAAGTATATTTCATAAATTCTTTGATGTAACTCTTTTAAAAATAATGTTTTATGACTTTATTATATCAGCGGGGGGCTGTCGCAGTAGCTTAACTGTTTTCTGGGGGGCTAGAGCTGATTCGTTAGCTGATTTCGGTTTTCGATTGACGGAAAATTGTTGAAAATAGTTTTATGGCAACACGGTCATGTGTATTTTATCGTTACTTTTAAAAAATTATTTTATTCGATATTGTTTCCGTGACGGACGACGTCATCCGACGCGTATCGTTTGGTTCGCAAAAACTCAACCCCGTGGTGTAATGCATCTACCGCGATAATGCGATGTCACGTTCTTGCCGACAATAGAACATCGTGCAGTATTCATATGCGCACGATAAGATTCCCGTTAAAAACGATGCCTCTTAATAATTGACGTCCGATTTGTACTCGTCGAATAATACGGCGTCATCGCCACGGAATAATATCAACACGGTGTAACTTGTCGTTGCTCGTAAACCGTCGGATCGTGTCAAACTTTGTAATAGGAAATGCAAGTTCACCGTCATGATCGTCGTTCACGATCCGCTAGAAATCGTGTATGAATATATACATTTTCATTTACGTTGCACTAATACGAAGCGTTGATTGGTGCGCGTTTCGGGTGTGGTGTGAACACTTGGGGTTATCTATAGTACGGTTTTTGGCGGCACGGTCTTTCCGCCGCATACCGATTGTAAATAAGGGTACGGCCAGGAGAAGACCATAAGGGTTCGTAAGAAAATTCAGTGGCCCCGAACGTTTTTTTTTTTAAATATTTCAAATTTATGGAGTTTCATCATTTATGGAGTTTAACATATACATTTTTTAATTTTAATTTTAATATGTTCGATATTTTCATTTATGTAATACTACTCTCTTAGTCGTGTACAAAATTAGTATACGTGCGTTTGTGTATTTCTAACCGTTTATCACCGCAAGAAACCACTCGTTCGATATATCATCATCGTGGCACGTAAAGATACCGTAAGAGTGTATATTATTATACATATTATTATATGTACACGTTTTTATAAATTCGGTTCGGATGATATTATACATGACTTGCAAAATATAATAAAGATTATTATTATTTCTAAAGTGGTATTGTTATTGGCATGACTTCAAAACTATGATTATTATATTTTCACCATATTAATCTGAGGTGCACAACATTATCATATACCAATCGATATTTCATAAAACAGTTATGTTTCAATAAAATATTTTTCAACGCAATTCGATTTTTTTTTTTAATACAATAACGAAGTAAGTTTAAATCATACGCGAAAATCGACTAACGTATTGTTTATTAAGTACCCATTCGTTTTTTACACATATTCAAACTGTATTTATCGTATGATTTTAGGTTCTTACAAATGGTGCACACACCAGGAGTGATCAAGTCTTTCCAACCACAACAACGGACGGCCGAGAACGATAGTGTGGCGAAAAGTTAAGAAAAAAAAAATTAAAATAACATCCGTTATACTGCCTATATTATATTAATGCAACTCAAAAAAAAAAAAACACTTAATGTTTATTTTATTATATTATTTATATTACATATAATTCGTATTTAATCCGGCTGTCTTAAAACGAAGTGTGCTTAATATAATATAGTATTTATTTATAATTAAGTCAATGCGATAATCGCTTTATTTCTGTAATATTTATTGCCAGATATACTGGGGAATTAATTTATTATATTGTATACGATCTAAAATACGGCCACTCGATGTATTTGGATTTATTACGAATTTTGCTCATTTATATTTATATACAAAATGTTTATCCTTATAGATCTTAAATATATATGAAATTATATTAGTACCTTATTTATTTAGATTATTACAAATCACAATTTAAATTTTACCCATCAGTAAATTTATGTAAAAGTAACATTATATGTACCTGCCACCTACAAGACTATAATATTATCTATGATATAAAATTTTTGTTAAATTACAATTTAAATGAATACATCAATTAGGTGTACATCACTTGTTTTTAATGTAATATATACAACTTTATATATCTAGGTATTATAATTTATAGCTATTAATAAATTGACAAATCATAATATATGCATGGAGTCCACTCAGGCTCTAGAGTAACAATAACATGATTAAAGATAGTATCAAAACACAAAATGCATAATTTTTGCAAAATTTACTTTAAAATTCAATTTCATGAATCTGTGAGATTATTTGTACCTGCAAATACTATAGTAAGATAATGTTACTTTATCGATAAAAAAATAATCAAGCTATGGCGTTTTAATAAAGTCAAAAAGTCGAATTTTGTTAACTTCACCTATTTCTTTTGATAGCATAAAAAAAAGTACTTTAAATATTTGTTGCCTATGTCACTTATAATTAGTAATGTATGATACCAGCCCTGTTGAACGTTGCTTCCGATTTATCGTTTCTTAATCTAGGCACGGAAATTTTATTTTTCAATCTATTCGTCTTGCTTTCGGGATCCTAACCGTAAAAGTTACTAAAACTTAAATCGTATACATATACAAAACATATTTTACAGAAGCCTGTACTGCTGTATAAAATGCAAAGTTAATTTATTGATTTATCAAAGTAAATGTATTTTTCTAACAAATAAAAGCCATGAGCATTGATGTAAATAAGAATAAAGAGTACCTATATATTAAGTTAAATTATATTTTAATAGTTATATCTTTTATGGTGAGTAGCCATAAATAAAGAAATTAGTATAAGTAAGATGAATATTTTTTAATTGGTACTAGCTTATTATAATATTATAGTTTTATATTAAATAAAATTATTAAATTTTATTTTATATTTTACTATTAATTATAATGATTTAATTGTTAAAATTTCAGATAATCTAGATTTCCTTAAATGAAAAAAAAGATTCACGTAATTATGAATGGAAGTTTAAAGTTAAAATTGAAGTTATTTATGCGAAGTATAGTATGTCACAAATAAATTAATGTACTTTTATAATTTATTTAATTATAATGTATAATATGTCAATGAACATTTATTTACTACCTAAGATGCAGTGGCGTAGCCAAGGGGGCTAGTTTCTCCCTTATGGGTTCTGTTTATATGTATACGAATGTACTAAAATAGTATACTACTATTTAGTATTTAAATATTTTAAAACTTTGGTAATTATGAAATGTTGACGAATAACGGACTTTGTCATTGGTAAATACATAAGCATAATACTTCTACCCTTTTGGTGGTTATAGTCAGTGTTGGGAAATATCTAGATAGAAATTATTTATCTTTTATCTTATCTAGATAAATTTCTACTCAGTTATATCTCCATATAGATAAAATTCTAGTTATCTATGAGTACCTATCTAGATAATTTATTTAAATGGCATAAAAAAAAAAATTTAAATTTAAAATATTTTTATATATTCACTTTTACATTTTTCTGTATATCGTATATCTATTACATAGAAAACAAACATTTAGTAAAATGTATTATTATACCTACCATGTATTTCAATATTAAATGTTCATTGTAAGTCTGAAGTTTTATATCATAAACAATGACAAGACCCAAAAATAAAAATATGTAATGGTCATGTAGTAAGAAAAAATAATAATAGCAAAAGCGAAAACATCTATCCCTGTTACCCGTCACCGCAAGATGGTCTTCATTAGCCGATACCCATTTCATAGAATTGTGAACAAAATATGAACAAATAATTATTCTTTCGAACCGAAGAAAATAAACCAACATTCATGGATATTGGATTCACAAGCAAAATATATTATAATATTATATACTCGTAATAATTTTTTTTATTATGCTTTTTTCATTATGAATATAAAGAATGATTTTTCATCTACTTCTGAAGTTTATTTTAAAAAAAATTACTTATTTAATGTTTATTAATGTTTGAGATGAGTTTAAAAAGTAACATTTATTTTAAAATGTTTTTAACTAGGTATCTATTTTTTTTTTTTACCTAATACTTGTAGGCTGTAGTATCCTAAAAAATTTCAAAATTAAACATGCAATTATCTTATATTTATCTAGATAAAATTTAGTATAACTATCTTTAACTATATCTTGATAAAATTTAGTATAGTCACCTTTATTTTTATCTAGATAAATTATTAGTTATCTCTTCCCTCAATACTGATTATAGTGAACGTTGTGGCGACTGTCGTCTAACACTTACATTTTTTAATCACTATAGTTCTTATACCATGTTATGTCATGGTGATGCTACCGCAGCTGACTACCGTTAATTTATTATTATTATTAATTATGTTTTAATAAATATAATTAAGACTATTTTAAAATGTTGAAAATACATTTTTAAATTTTTGGAGGGGGGGGGGGGTAATGTGTGTACTCTCAAAGCATTTCTTACCTAATCTGACCAAAAAAATGTTTATCCCTTCCCATTTAAAAATTCTGACTACACCAATGTTAAGGCGCATTGATTCCACTTCTTTTATTTTATCTCAAATTTTATAAACCATCTGTAAACTTTGTAATGAAATTTTACAATGATCGTACAGCTTCAATTTCAGTAATAAGTCATTCACGAAATATAATTAACTAGTCCATTTCTTATTCGAATAATAATAATAATAATAAACTGTCGTAAATATACATAAAGCTTATGTCGTCGCTCATGTGGACACAAGACACGTGGTCGTCTTATAATATATTTATAATTATGACGTTACGGCTTATTTAAAATTTAATTCATCGTGACATCGACTAAAACTTATGTTTAATAATATTTTATAAATCATACGGAAGTTTAAAACTGTTTGTCAATATGCTGTGTATGAGTGATTCAATTCAGTGTCGTTCAAGCGAACAAGTCAACTGAAAATATCCGTCGGTAGGTTGGATACGAACCCGTTATATTGTGACGACGATACAACCGAAATTATAAGTCAGTTAATTTTAAATGTAAAACAAACGTCGGTATTAATTAATAATTTGAACAATAAGAACAATAATCTTAAGTTACTGAATATATTTTTATTATGAATTTTAATAACAATTTTTAATATGCATATCCATTAAGAGAATTCCATACTCACATAAGTTGTCTCTGTCTCACGAACGTGTTGTTAGCTTTAATATAAGAGTAGGTGGACCTTTTATGAAACTTAAAAAAAAGAACATTATTTGTGCGATATCATGAGTTTTTTTAATACTTAATGTTGTGGTTATGTATAATATTATAATTTAAAAACGCTCAAAATTAACTTAAAATTAAAATATCATAAAAAACCTATTACATCGCATAGATAATGTTCTTCCCTTAAAGTTTGATAAAATTTAAGTATACTTATATAGTATAGTAATTATATAGTAGCAAGATGGACAGAAAATTTCTAATATCGTGGAATTGCGAACAAGTTGAAAAATATCTACCACGGGTATAAAATCAAATAATTAATAAGGGAGGTTTAGTTTCACGTGTGTTCGATGAATTATCACGGATCGTCTTCACAGATATACTGATCAATATTCGACTTACCAGTCCGTTTGTCAATTATTTATTTTTTCAGTAACAATAACTGTTCCAGATGGTTTTTAATCATTAACACGAGTTGATTTTTTTCTTTAATTTTTATGGTCATTTCCATAATAGAGTTTTCCTTTTCTTTTTCACGTTGTTCACCTATTGTTTTGATCTTATTTTTTATTGATTCGGTCGTATCACTGATCTTACTAACTTTCTTCAGTGTTCTTCGACGATTCAATTTTTTTTTTTTAATCACTACGTCTTGGTCATTCAGATCATCTTTAAAATCAGTTATAACATTTTCCAATGCAATAAGTTTTGTACAGCAATTGGGGATTTTCGACGACATGATTTGTATCTTGGTATTGAGTTCATAAATTTATTTGTCAAATTTACATTTATAATTTATACGATATTCTCTAGCGAATTTATTTTTAAAGTCAACTCTGTTATTCGTTTATTGTAGAATTCTATTTCTGATTTTTTATCAAGTATGTTTTGTTTGACCCTATCCAATGTCACCAACTTATCATTCAACTGATTATTCTGTTTTACGTCCTTGGTCTGGAATAACTTGTTAAATTTTTCATTTTTGATTCTCAAATCAATAATAAGTAGAACCATTCATTCATTTTCATTTTCTTCTGCATTAATCGTTTTTTCCAGTTCAGCAAGTTCAGTTATTTTTTTTTGCTAATTGGTATTGAACGTCTATCGTTATTTTATCAATAGTTCTCTGTTTTTGTTCCATTACTTGTAAATCTATCTGAAGCTTTTATTTAATCTTAGCCTCATTACATTGCTGATTCTTCAGTCTTTCTGCTATCTTTAAATTTGTTACTTTTTTACTATTTAAGTTTTCTATAGTTTTGCAATGTTCGGCTAATTTTTCATCGAGTTCATTGTCTTCATCGCACAAAAGATAGTGTTTCTTTTTAATATTTTTCAGTTCTTTCTATAATGTATTATAATCGTGACATAAAGTATCATACTTACATAATAATCATGAAAATTGTTAGCTTGATCGTGTTGAATTGAAGTCATGTTTTCATGTTTTTCATGCAATTTGCTTTCAAGTAGATTCCTTTCCGATATTAACTTTTCTCTGTAACAAATTTGTATCTAGAATTCTATGGTATATTTTTTAAAAAGAAATTTAGCACAAGATTGAATTTAATTAAAAATATGTAATTTATATTTCTCGAATTTTGTTTCGTGTTAAATAGTTATACGAATTTGTTTCCTGGTGATTGCAAGATTATACATTATAAACTGCTAGGCCTTCATGCATATATTTTATTTGATCTAATCAACATATTGGCTGAACTACATTTTTATCAAATTTGATAAAAACTTAGTTATTTTATGACTTTAATTTTTTTTTTTTAAATTAAAAAATAAAAAAAATAATTATACCCAATGTTTTATACCAAAATAATGTACGAGTGTATAATAATAAATAGGCGAATCATTATATATAGGCACATAGAGTCTGAGCTTATTTTATTTTAAAATTAAAGGGTAATAAATGCTCAATTTTTTTTCATGGAAAATAGACAGTCGGTCCTCAACGTGCGTGTGATTCAATTGAAAATATCGGTTGGTGGATAAGAAACGAAGAATTTATAATAAACATGACGGTCTTGGATAAACTGCGATGCAATAGTTGTTATTAATTGGATTCGATGAAATTTAATTTATAAATTACGTTATTTATTTCAATTCAGTCATAAAAGAGGTATGAAATATCAAAGAAAAACACCGTTCTATTAGATAAAATGAATCAGCTCAATAAAAAATTACACGAACTGATATATACTTCAATTATAATAGGTTATACTGACTCGTTGACTGCTCATTGAGCGATTGAACTGACTTATACTGACATACCCTCAATACTCATCTAGTTTGTACGGTGGTTAAAGATCCGTCTTGAGCTGGTTAAAATCTTACAGTCACGGAGTTTTGGTTAAAGTACTAGAGAAAGGCTAGTTTCATATTGTAAGCAGTAAACGAAGAACTAAGAATATATATTAATATAAGTAGCTAGAAAGCAATATATTGGGTATAATAATAATTGTGATGCATAAAGAGGGTTGATTTGATTCGTGTTACTAATATATTAGAATTGTTTTTAAATGATATTATGAAATTCGTGTTAAACAGCATTTTTGGTTCATGGAGAGAAACTTAAATTTTTTTCATTGTAATCATCTTATTCGCATAGGCGCTGCAAGGAATTTTGTCAGGTTGGCAATGCATCCTGTGTACATGATGATTTCTAAATAATTTTAATTACTGTTTATGTT